GAAAGGTTTTGAGTCTGTCTTTCTACCAATGTGAAGAGGAAGGAAGGGGGATCACGGATGCCATGGCTCCGGCTGACTTGTTCTGCATTTGTTTCCTGTTTCCAGTAGATGGCAAGACGCCCCTCATGCCAGCCAGCAGTTTTGCAGATCGTTCGGTTACAGTCTGAATGAGGCCACATCTTGGGATGTTTAGTTTCCCTATTCCCTGGCCGTTGAAAATTTAGATAATCCTAACCAGGAAAGTCTTCCCAAGGTACAGCTGCGGCACGTCAAGCCATTCATGTGGGCTATAAGAAACTGTCCCTCTTCTTACCTTGGGTCTATCTTCCTCCCCATTTACACAGTGGATTTGGTAGGGATTTCAGTTCACACAGACACAATTCAGCAGGTTTAGGTGGGATTCAGGACCTCCTGATTTGCCCTACACTGTATGCAAAGGCATTGAGTGCTCAGAGCAGTAGTGTAACTAAATGGGGGGAGTGGAAAAATGCCAGCCAGGAGGCAGTGCTGCTCTGTGCACTGCTGCTGCCCTGGGCACAGAACTGCCCTGTTACGCTTCTGGCTTAGAGGGCAGAGTTTATCACCGCAAACTATATCGGTGTTGTCAAAGGATATTTGCTGGCCAGAGACGTATTCGATGCTTTGCAATGCGTTGCCCAGGATAGGGCTTTCATTCTATGTAGGATTTACCCCCCAAGACAGCAGAGAGATGCCTACCTACACAGGCATTCATAGACCTATCTACATAGGGCTTCATCCTGCCTTTGAGGGTAACCCCTCCTTGTCAGTCCCTGATCCACAACAGGATGCTTTGCAAAGCATTGCCATCTCTAGCACCTTGTCTTTCTTCAAGGGCCAGGCATGCTAGTCATGCATTGCATTTTCATAATGACTTGTAGGATTCCTGATAAATTGAAGAAATGTCTGCCCTGAATTTTGAATGGTGGTTTAAGAAGGATGATTCCAAGAACCCCAAACCGAGTGGGGAGCAGCACATGGATAACCAATAGGAACTGGGGTGCATCACGCTATCATCCTCTATGGAGCTCAAGTCCCTGGCTTAGGGCCATATATTTTTATGCCTCATTTACTTGGGATCCAGGATACCAAGTGCTCCTCTGCAGATAGATATCTAAGAGGTAGTAGTAGTACCTGTGCTTTATAATAGGCTGGTGGTTAGAGTGTTCACCCAGGATTTGGGAGACCTAAGTTCTAGGCTTTCCTCAGTCTGAGAAGATCCAGGCTGTATCTCCTGCTTCTCAGAAGGATGTCCAAACCACTGAACTGTAGCATAATTTGGCGTGGGGGATGTGTCATCGGCTGACCTCTGAAACAGCCAGGCCATTAGACAGTCGAAAGTGCAAAAGTCATGGGGCCAGAAAACAGGCAGGAAGGACCCTGCTTCTTTCCTGAAGCCTGGTGATTAGGGCACCAGGGGAAAAAGGAAGATCTGCATTTTGGTGCCAGCTTCCACAACTCTATGTGCAATTAGGCAGTCTCAGAAGAGTGCCATAACTACTAGGCTACAGAGGCTGCCCTGTGGGTCAGCATCTTCTACAGGAGGGTGCCCCTTCAGACTGCCCTGTTGCCTGCGGTCAGGGCATGCGCCTGTGCAGTGGAGATGTGGGTTTGAATCCCCTATAGCTGAAGAGAGCTTGGAACCCAACTTCCATTTTCTCTGAGAGCTCTTACCGCTGGACTGTTGATCACACAAAGAGCAAGCACTTCCACTGCTCTTGTATAAGAGCAGCCATGGCTACGCCTTTGTACAAAACTCAGTGCTGCCAGAGTGCCTTTGCCATGCTCACAGCTGGCCTCGCAGGTCAGTGTTTAGGTGCCACATTATCTAGATCACAATAGACTTAGGCGAGAGTGAGTCGCTTGGCTTCTCCACCCATACAGACACCTAAGTTTAGACACCTAGGGAACACCACCTTGTGACGTGCTTGCTGCAACAAAAATTGTAGTGGCACTTTTTGCTGCGGTGCACGCCCCTGCATGTACAGTTTGGTGTGGGGCACAATGTCCCTCTTCAAAGAAACTGCTGGTTCTCCTTTCCTCCCAACTCCCGCCATGCTGGAGAAGCCAGGGGACAACTAAAGCAGTGGAGATGCTCTGGCCAGCAGCCAGAGCATCTCTTGGGAGGACCCAGCCTTTGTCTGCCAGTGCACGTGAGAGGACTGTGCACCTCACCGCTTTTTTCTGCACCAGTTTTTTTTGCTACCAGGATTTTCCAGTAGCAAATTTTGCCCCCGTGCTGCAAATATGCAGCATGGGGCACGTTTTAACATGCCAGGTGTGCACTTTATGGCACTGGAAAGGGGTTTGTGGCACCACAAACCGCACATGCCTGCACATCTGGATCCAGCCCTAGGGTGTGTCCAGACAAGCATGGTCGTGTGGTATGTGGCGCTGCAAACACATTTGCAATGCCACATACCACACAGTCTGCTGTTTTCCGTGCTGCAAGGGCACACTGCCCAAGGATGTACTGTGCCAGATTTTTTTCCCTGCATGTTTTTTTGACCCCTGGATATCCAGGAGTCAAAACAAACCATGGGGGGGAAAAAAATAGTTGCAACCCATGCTCAGCCAGTGCACGCTGCTGAAAAGTGGAGCTGGGCCACCTGGAGCCACACTGCGGCTGCCGGCCAGGCTTTGTGCAGCAGAAATGCTGCAGTGGCAGCCCTGGGAGGCCCCCAGGTAAGTTTGCTGGGGCCAGGGTCAAGTAGCGGCGTCACAACATGCACTGCTGCTACTTGTCCCCGGGGAACCAAATGTCCGCGCACATCTGGACGTGCCCCTAGGGTCCAGATTCTGTTCACCTATTAGGCATCCAAGCGGACTTAGGTGCTTAAGTATGATGCCATTCCACCCTGCTCAGCAGTAAATACAGTAGGTGGATGGTTCCTCCTCCCCATTGCTGTTTCTTTATGACTCAGTCTTAAGAGACAGATTATGGTTTTTAACAAAAGTAGCCACATTAATGGATTTTCAGGGATTTGAACAGGGTGGATTAAAATTGCATTTAGATGCTTAAATCCACTGAGATTCCTAATAAGTGGAGTAGTCTGGTCTCTAGGGCCCCTGGCAACATTACACTTTAAGATGTGATTAACCAGTTAATCATGTCTTAAGTAGTAACCAGCCACATGTTCATGCAGTTAACGGCACAAAAACACAAGGAATAAGCCACAAAGTTATTACTCAAAATATGTATAATTGTGTGGCTGGTTCCCATTGTGCCTTCAATTGAACGTGTGCCTGGTGCGCCCCTGGGGCTGGGAGTCCCCATCAGTTGGCTGGCTCTCCCAGCTATGAGCTCCCAGCTGGGACGCCCTTCAAGGCTGTGGGACGCCCTCCTGCGGCCTGGGAGCACCTGTTAGTGGAGCGGTGCTCCCAGCTGTGGGTGCACAGGGCACCTGGCTTGCTATTTACTGGTCCCAGAAAAAAAACAGGAGGGGGAAAAAACGCCCCTGCTTTAGCCCATAGATGAGTGGGTAGGGCACTCCTCCAGTCCTTTTGAATCGGAGCCACTACGACTTGTGGTTAATAGTCATTCGATAAAATGGCTGGAGAATAGTAGGAGTTTCTGCTCAGCTGGGAAGGAAGGGTTTAGGCTAGAACCTGCTCCTTTCTGGAGCAGCAGCCATTTCACTGAGCCACAAAGCCTCTGGCTTGTTCTTTTCCTCTGGGCTGTACCCAAGCTGGCTTCACTTCTCTTGGCTACCTAGGGGCCACCTTCAACATGAGTGCCAGAGAAGGCACTGGGTAATGCCTAACCTCTCCCCTGATGGTAAGTGTCCTGTTCTATGAAGTCGGAGATGCAAGTTCAGATTCTCCATGGGCAAGAGAGGCTTATAACGCAGGTCTCCTGCCTCCTGCACATGTGCTCAAGCTACTCAGGTACTGGGGATAAACATGGAAGGGTCCTTCTCTAATTATCCTTTTGTCATGGAGTTTTGTCTGGCCAGGATTAGGGACCTGTGCATGTTGTACATGGGGGCACGTGTAGCTGCTCGGCCCATGCCTGGCCTGCTGTGTACGCTCCAAATACACATGTACACTTACCTGTCTGTCCTGCACAGGTAATAGAAGGTAACAGCATCACAAATTGTGTGTAAGTGCCAAAAGGCCTCTTGCACAGCTGGAAAAAATGTTGTTTAAGTGCTCAAATGATAATTGAATTCTGCCCCTACAGTCACTTAAGTTCTGCTTTAGAGACCCGAATTGCCTCTCAGGATCTTACTTCTGCGTCTAGTTTATGAATGCTGGCTCTATACCAGTAACTCTCAGCCAGGGTGCTTTTAAGGGTGCCATGTAATATTAGTACTGCTAAGTGTGCAAACACCAACACGTGAGTCACAAGATAAGTCCTGCAATTTGAGATAGGAATCCATGGTGTCAGAAACACTCGGACCTGGTGTGCCCACAGAAGAATTGCTCTGTTATTTTTCCAGTCAAGAAATGAATGAAAGCTAAGAGTTACCATCTGTTGAGGGGTGCCTTGAGTCTAAAAAAGGTTGGGAGCCACTGCTCTATAGCTTACAAGAGTCTTGCTACGATTGGTATATTCCTTTGAAGCAGAATGTCTTCTAATGGGTAGTTTTGTGTAGGAATCTGCATCTTGCACATATGTTGCATTGACCACTCACACACAGGGACTTGCACATGGATAGGCCTGCCTACATGTGTCCATGCACATGCACATACATCCATACATTCCTTCAAACAGTCTTGGAGGGTCATTCAGTGGATACAAATGCATTCCCTGCCGCACTCAGCCTAGGGGGGTCTTCCTATTTTTCTCCCATCAGCGGTAGGCTAGCACTGGGGACAGTATACGAACTAAATCAATTAGATTAAATTGATTGTTGATCTTTTCTAACATCCTTAACAACACTGATTGGCAATATGTTTAATTCAAGGAAGGATTATGCAAAAAACAGCCCCCAAAATCTTGGCAGCCCTTGTACTCACTTTATGATTTCTTTTTTCAGGCTCAGATCGCCTCCATCAAAGGAGCGGTAGGAAAGTGAAGTTCTAAGATCGCTCCCTTGATCCCGACTGGAAGAAACGGAATCCAGTAAGAGCAAAGAGTAAAGATGGCTGAATTTACAGGCTACAAGGAAACTTCTAATCGCCATCTACGCTTCAAGTTGCAGAGTCTTGGCCGTCGTCTTGATGAACTAGAGGAAGCAACAAAAAATCTCCAGAAAGCTGAGGATGAGATTCTGGATCTCCAGGACAAAGTTATCCAGGTAGAAGGCAGCAATTCTAGCATGCTGGCTGATGTTGAAGCACTGAGAAAAAGAGTGCTGAAAATTGAAGGGAAGGATGAAGAAATCAAGAAAGCGGAAGAGCTCTGTCGGCTGATGAAAGCAAAACTAGAAGAGGAGGAAAGTCTCACCCGTGAGCTTAAGTCAGAAATCGAACGACTTCAGAAGCGAATGGCAGAGCTGGAAAAGCTAGAGGAAGCTTTTGGCAGGAGTAAGAATGACTGTACTCAGCTGTGCTTGAGTCTCAATGAAGAGAAGAATTTGACCAAAAAAATCTCTACAGAACTGGAAATGTTTAGGGTGAAAGTAAAAGAACTTGAAACCTCTGAAGACAGGTTAGATAAAATGGAACAGAGTTTAGTAAGTGAGTTAGAAAAACTGAAATCTTTAGCTCTGAGCTTTGTTAATGAAAGAAAACACTTTAATGAAAGAGAAAAGCAGAATGAGAAAATCATTCAAGAACTAACGCAAAAGCTTGAACAAAATAACAAGCTAAACAGAGCTGATCAAACTAGAAATGCATCAAATTTGCTAGAAAGGTCATCACACAGTCTTCTGGATAGAAATGACCTGAGAATTGAAGATGACTTGACTTCTTCGTTGGCTTCCAAAGAAGCCAGAAGAAAGGGAAGCTTAGATTACCGAAAGCATGTTGAAAATGAAACCCGGAATAAATCAGAAAATCAAAAGAATAAAAATCAAGAAGACAATAAAGTGAAGGACCTGAACCAAGAAATTGAGAAATTAAAAACTCAAATTAAACATTTTGAATCTTTAGAAGAGGAACTAAAAAAAATGAAAGCCAAAAATAATGATCTTCAAGACAGTTATCTGAGCGAACAGAATAAAAACAAGCTCTTAATAGATCAATTAGAAGAAATTAAAATGCAAATCAAAAAACAGAAAGACCTGGAGAATGGAGAGGTGGAAAATGAAGATACGAGCTTCCCTGGCAGAGTCCGACACGACAAATCTAAATGCAGAGGTATCACAGCCGAGCTATCGGTTGCAAAACACAAGTCACGGGAGCTTTCGCCGCAGCATAGACGTGAAAGGACACGGAACAGGGACTTCTCCTTTAATAATAACAATTATCTGCAAAGCAGCAAGCAAGTTTCCAGTCCCAGTTTAACCAGCACGAGAGCAACAAAGGCATCTAGTAAACCTGCTCTGTTGGACACTGCGGTTGCCGAAACAAAAAGAGTGGATCCACAAGACAGATCAACAATTTCTACATACTTCTCCGTGCAGAAAGATGTTCCACAGAGCGAAGGGAAGAAATCAAGAGAGCAGCCCTCTGTCCTGAGTCGATACCCCCCTGCTGCGCACGAGCAGAAAGCTTGGAGGATGTCTTCAAAACCTGGGAATGAAAGTGGGCTGAAGACTAAGGTTGAAAAGCTGTCTCAAACAGGTAGTGATATTTGCCACAGTACTTCTGATGTGCTTAATGAAAAACCCAACAAAGGAGAAACATCTGTGTTTTTGGCAGAAAAAATTAAAATAACTCAATTGGAGACATCTGATCACTGTGTGGAGGCGGTCTTTACCAAAAGTACCCATGCAGCACCCAATGGAACAGGCTTTTCACGGAGATGCCATCTTTCTCCACAAGTGCCAGCAGATGAACCCAGTAGCTCGAAAGCAGAAGCAGCAGTGCCCTCTGCTCTGTCTCACAGGCAGCCCTTGGAAGGGAAGTCTAAAAGGACAATCAACTCCCAGGATAAAGAATTTGCAGACGCTTTACTTGAAAATGCAAAGCCTTCAGTTCTCATGAGGCACTCGCACAACTCAAAAAGCCAGGAAGACATTATACAGAATCTCACAGCTCTGGACAAAGAAGAACCGAACCAGAGCGCAGCCTCGATAAGCGATCTCACAAACATTGGTCTGAAATCAGACGCCTTGAGATCCAAAGCCGTTAAACCAACAAGCGATGAGAAACTTTATCCAAATGAGGAGATAGGCAAAAGTATGAAAGCTAGCAGCCAGTCGGAACTAGAGCCAAGAAAAAGACCTAATTCCAGAGACTTTCCAAGCTCCAGAGGAGTATTTAGATCGTCTATCTTTGAAAATGATAACAGTACTGGAAATGAAGAAGAATCCACCAAACCCATCAAAATACCTTCAGATGCCACCAGCCTCGGATTGAAATCCAGAAGGTCATTCAGCCCTAGAGAAGCCCTGAGATCCAAAGCTGTTATTAAGCCTGTAATCATTGAAAAGGACATGAAAGAAGTAATGGGAGGCACTGGGTCTGAAACAGTCTCTGAAAAACAGAAACCTGTCTTTAAAACCGTGACAAATAAAATGACAAGTAGCATCACCATCTTCCCCTCTGAGCCGGCCGCTCCAAAAGCCACCACAAATGAGGCAACAAAGGAAAGACATACTTCTACTAGCAATATCAGGGTTGCTCCAAGCGAGCTGCCATCAGCAACAAATAACATCAGCACACCTTTCGAGATCTCACTCAGCAAGAGCGACATTGCTTTGAAATTATGTGAGGCGGACAGAACGGCGGACTCGGCTCTGAGAAACAAAGCTGAAACACTCGTTTCGAGAAGCAGCATTATGATAAGATCTTCTGAATCCATTGAGAAGAACAACAGCGAGCCACCAGCGGAGACAATCAGCTGGAAGAGTCACAGGTCATTAGAAACTCTCTCACCAGAGTCGAAGCACGTCACTGTGAGAAGTGCCTGGAGGACGAGGCAGGGCATCCATTCTTTTGAGGACTCTCCATCCAAAGTGGAAAAAAGAATAACTTCCACTATTACAAATACGATCAAGTCATCGTCAGACGTCTCTCAGACGGAAGGGACCAACGAAAGGATAAATTCATTTGAGCAGAACTCGAGAAGGTCCAGCGCCACTACTAATTCTTGGAGCACTCCGGAGTTAGGCTCTAGAAGGACCAAAAGTAGCTTAAGTGCATCCGAGCTGCTCACGCACAGGAGCTACATCACGGATCCCATGACAGCGTGGAGTCCTACTGCATTACCGGTAAGTGCTTGTTTCCTCTCTTCCCTGCCTGCAACCATCCTCTGTTTTCTGTCACCTGCTTAACACGTTCCCAAAGTGTCCACTAACTCACTCTAGGGTGCTTGATGTGAACCGTTTTATGGTTTTGATGTTCAGATATGCTCTAAGTCCATGGCTCTCATTGATTTTTTAGATGAGTATCTAAAATTTGACACCCACAATTGACAAATTCAACGGAGACTTGGAAAGCTTGCATGTATTCCACCTTGATGTGCCTAAATGGCATTTACACAGACGTGCAACTAAAATTTTTGGTGGACATATGTAATTTTGGTTCCATGGACTACAGTCTGCACTTCCCCACTGAGCCTGCTCAGTAGGCTGCAGTTTGGCTGCATAGGTTTCAGGGTGGAATAAATCACCGAGGAACCAGCAGAACTTTGGTATAAGTCCAGGCAGTGTTGGAGTGATGTAGCTGTGATAGTCCAGGATTTATGTGAAAGGCAAGGAATGTTTTGGGTGATATCTTTTTATTGGACCTCCTGCATGGTTGGGATCAGGGTAGACAAGCTTTAGATTATGAGGCATTCTTCATCAGGGGAAGTCCTGAAATTTTCATTGCAGAAAAACCCACAACCAGTGGATGTTTAGAGAAGGCAGCCCTCCTACCTTGTAGCTTAGTGGCTAGGCCACTTGCCCAGGAACCTAGAGACCCAGGGTTTAGGCTCTCTCATCCAGAGGGGTTTTGCTTCATCTTCTACTTACCAGCACACAGTGCTCTAACCAGACTGCCCAGTGCACTCTCCAGCCTTTCTCTTGAACTTGGCCCACTGGGCAACCAGGAGGGGAGGTACAGGGGCTAGGAAGAGATAAGGGGGTGTTCAAGTGAGAGTTGCTCGGTGCTTCCCTTGAAGGGAAAAAGCCTCCAGCCCCTTCCCCAAAAGGGGTAGGAACAGACCCACTGCTTTTTATTGATTTAGCCAATTAATAGTAAATGCAAGTAAATGCAAGTACATTGAAGCTGCCCCACAATGTAATAGTGGGGCAGCTTCAGGAGGAAGGCTGGAGAGCAGGCTCAGCAGTGGCTCCGCCTTAGCCTGGGGGCTAGAGCACTTTGCTAGGAAGTACAAAGGTACCAGTTCAGATTCTCCGAGTCAAGCATCTGAGTTACCTGTTTACAAGGGAAATGGCATAGCTACTTGGTTATTGGGTTAAAAAGTGGGAGTGCCTTTTGCTACCACATTGCTTCCAGCAGATAAGCACGTAGGCCAATCCTGTTGCATCACAGGTGGAAACACAATCCAACACTCTGCGTACGTGCCAGATAATTGCAGTTGTGCAGCTATGTAAGACTCACTTAGACATGTCAAGGAGAAATAGGATTTGTCCTGTAGTAATTTAGACCTCTAAATGCTGTTTACATGCTTCTTGGATGTGTATTAGGATTTGGCTCTAAAAGCACACCGACTACTTTCCTAGCCATGTCTCTTCGGTGCTTTGAAAGATGGTATTTGGCTGTTGTGGGAGGAGAGCTCTCCCAAACCAGCACTCATGCGAGGGAAAACCCTGCAGCATTTTCTCTGTTCAAATGTGCTGCTCACTAAGAAAGCTTGAGAAATCTGACATAGTTAAAAACATTATTCATTTTCTAGGGAGTGTCCCTGCCTACCATGCTAAATAATTACCGTATTTAATTGCTGCTCTACTCACTGCAGCTGCTCATTACATAGGATCTAAACTGAACAAACAGCAGGGAAAGCCCATATTAATTTCCACCCACACTTTCAATCACGTGCAGGTGCCCAAAGTAGCACAGCAGAGCTCAAACCCTGCTGGCTGGTTGTGAGAAGGAAGGGTTCTTCTCCTGGTAATCGCCGGCATCCATATTCTCACTTGTGGGTATGTCTCGCCTTGTGCTTGGATCAGACACTTTTTTGCCTTAGCCATCTGAAGAGTGCAACTTAGCTTCACCTCTCCTTATGCCCTCGTGGCAAGGGGGTAAAAAGTGGTGTACACAGCCTACTTCTCCGTTAATCCTTGCTGCCTGGCTAGAGGCAGAGCCATTTTGCATACGGGCTGGAGTCTTAGGAAGCGTTCAGTCCCATACTTTTGCTACTGTCCCAGCAACAGCCTGTGTGTCTGTCACCAGTGTAGGTCGTCTCCCACCCAGGGAACCCCTAGAAAGTGGCAGAGGTGCCACAAAGGCTCTCCACTGCCTCTCACTCCTCCTCTTACAGCTTTTCTGCCCTGAAACGGGAAATTCGATGGTGGGTTCAGAAGGTGAAAGCTTCGTGCCACCTTCCTGCTCTTCCAAAACCAACATTGGCCCGTTTGTACCTGGCATGGGCTCGTATCACCTTAGACTAACGGGGCCTGGATGTGGCCCCCAGTAGTTCCTCCATTCAGTTTGAATTGCTATTTTCTCACAACCTCCCTTCCCCAGCCCCTTTCAAGGACTTCTCGTCAGAGTCTGCTGTGGGAAGAGGTCCAATCCCTGCTGATGGTAGGGGCCGCGGGACTAATCCCCCTTTATTAGGGCTCTAGTTATTTCCCAGTTCTAAAGAGAAAGGGAGATTGGAGACCGGTCTTTGAACTAAGAAAGCTCAACACATCTTCACACTCCAGCTGGTTTCCCGAGTGACCATTATTCCCTCACTGAGTCAGGAAGACTGATTTGCTTATCTTGACTTCTGGCAGCGCAGGGGAAGGAATCTCTGATTTATAATGGACCAAGACCTCCACCAGCATGGGGATCTGCCATTTAGTTTGCCCACAACTACAAGTCTTCGCTAAGGTGCCTTACGAGTGGCAGATTCCTGTTTACACCTACCTGGTTACTAAAGGCATTTTGGCCAATTAGAAAAAAATCCACACTATGACGAGCCTTTTCCAGTCTCTGGAACTGCTCATTGACTATCAAGAGTTAAACCTGGCTCTTGCTCAGACCATCAGGTTCATTGTAGCCTACTTGAACTCGGTGTCAGCCAGAGCTTACCTTTCACAGCACTGCTCTCATGGCCTAATTGAGTTTATCTTGCTGATCATGCAACACTGGACTACAACAGACGAAAGCAAGAGTTTGCCTATCTTTGGTCAGGCCTATGGCCTCCTGCTCATTCATGATGCCACATGCCAGGCTTCATCTCAGAAGACTTCAGGCCCAGCTGCACAGTCTCTTGCTCTCCAGTGAAAGGCTCACTCAGGGAGCCTTCAAATTCAGTACCTCTGGTCTCTGGACAAAATGAGACTGAATATTAACATGCTAAAACTGAGGGCAGTGCAGAGAGCCTGTAAAGCTTTCTTCCATTGCATCAAGAGCTCTCATCCAGATTATGATAGACAATACACCACATTGTTTTTACATCAACAGCCAGGGTGGTGCCCCACCTACACAGAGAAACTATTTTATTGTTGGTGGGTAAGTCATCAAGTTCATCTGTCTGCCATGTGCCTGTCAGGTCTTCAAAACACTGTAGCAGATTGCCCAAGCAGAATCATCTCCCTACATCATGAGCAGGAGTTCAAGAACTTGGTACTCGGGGATAAATTTGCAAAATGGGGCCCTCTGTCCAAAGACGTTTTAGTAATCAAGACCAACAAGAAGCTCCTATTGGTTTGCTCTGGGATGGAGGTTTCAGCCCCAGCTCTCTCTGAGATTCATTTATGAAGAATAGCTGAAGAACCTCCTGTAAGTATTTCCTCCCGCACCTCCCACACCATGAGCCTTCATAAGGTGATACCAGTAACCCCACATGGATGAGTCAGGTTAGATAATGTTGTTGGTGAGGGATCCTATGAGGCTGCCTTTGGTTCAAGACCTGCTAACACAGAGCAGAGGAGGATCTTCCACCTCGCAGCCCAAGTGCTGGATGGCTTTCTTGGGTACAGTGAGGGTGTTCAACCCAGGTCAGAGAGCTTTTCATCCACAACAGAAAGGACTCTACCCAGATTTATTTACTTAGTGAGATGACCTAGGTTTTTGTCCTAGTGTAAGATGAGGAATATCAACCCACCCAAATCTACTGTACCAAAGATAGTAGAGTATCTCTTGGTCTGAAAGCACAGGGATCTCCTCAGTTTAATTAAGGTCCATCTGGCAGCTGTCCCAAGCTTTCCAACCTTCAGTCAGTAGTTGGCAATTTTTTCTCCCTTCAAGGCACGTCCAGAGTTTTTCTTCAAGTAGGGACTCTGTCCCGGAGCACAACCTTACGCTGGTCCGCTCACTTGAGACTATGGTAACATGCTCCCTTCTGCATCTTTCCTTGAAAGTAGGGTTCCTAATTGCAATTACATTGGTAAGGAAAATGAGATCCAAACCCTCAATCAGACCCTCCTAATACCACTTTTTTTTCTTCTGATGGTATCCCTGGGGATTCACCCAAACTCCCTGCACAAAATTGTTAATGACTTTCCTTTGGGATTTTAGATCTGTTTTCCAGTGTTCTTTTCAAAGCCTCATTCCTCAGGGGCAGAGACTTTCCATGCACTAGAAATGAAGACAGCCTTAGCCTTTACTTTTAAGCCATTTATAACATCTCCAGACCTCTTTGTCTTGATAGCCAAGACATTGGCCATCAGTTGCCTAATTGGATCTTGAACTGCATAAGACTTTGAGACCACTCAGGTGGATCTGCCATCCATGATATAGGTGGATTCCACCAGAGCTGAGCTAGCATCCCTGCATGATGTTCCCAGAGGTGATGCCTGCAGGGCAGGCACTTGGAGCTCCATCCATACCTGCACAAAGCATGAATACTATCACAGAAACCTCAAGAGCTGATGCCACAATTGGCAGAATGGTCCGACAGTCCGTGTTTGCCTCATGAGACTCCAACACCTGCTTCCGTGTATATTGGCAGCTCTTTGGAGTCACTAGGAAGTGACCAGGAAGTATGTGCAGATGTGCCTATGCTTTTTGCTGGCAACCTTTTAACAGCTTGTGCTTTCCAAGGGCGTTACTTACCCTGCCGGCACCCTGTTGTAGTGTAGCCATGCAGATCTTTCTGAAGTTGCACATACAG